AGATATATACATTAAACGCACATTATAAGATATAAGATATATATACATTTAACACACATTATATGATATATACATTAAACACACATTATATGATAAGATATATATATTAAACACACATTATAGGATATATACATTAAACAAACATTATATGATATATACATTAAACACACATTATAAGATATAAGATATATACATTAAACACACATTATATGATATTAGATATATACATTAAACACACATTATAGGATATATACATTAAACAAACATATGATATATACATTAAACACACATTATATGATATAAGATATATACATTAAACGCACATTATATGATATAAGATATATAGAGTAAACGCACATTATATGATATATACATTAAACGCACATTATATGATATAAGATATATACATTAAACGCACATTATAGGATATATACATTAAACGCACATTATATGATATAAGATATATACATTAAACACACATTATAGGATATATACATTAAACAAACATTATATGATATAAGATATATACATTAAACGCACATTATATGATATAAGACATATACATTAAACACACATTCTAAGATATAAGATATATACATTAAACACACATTATATGATATAAGATATATACATTAAACACACATTATAAGATATATACATTAAACGCACATTATATGATATAAGATATATATATATTAAACACACATTATAGGATATATACATTAAACGCACATTATATGATATAAGATATATATATATATTAAACACACATTATAAGATATATACATTAAACACACATTATATGATATAAGATATATACATTAAACACACATTATAGAATATAATATATATACATTAAACACACATTATATGATATATACATTAAACACACATTATAGAATATAATATATATATATTAAACACACATTATAGAATATAATATATATACATTAAACACACATTATATGATATAAGATATATATATATTAAACACACATTATAGGATATATACATTAAACGCACATTATATGATATAAGATATATATATATTAAACACACATTATAAGATATATACATTAAACACACATTATAGAATATAATATATATACATTAAACACACATTATAAGATTTAAGATATCTACATTAAACACACAATATATGATATAGGATATATACATTAAACACACATTATATAATATAATATATATACATTAAACGCACATTATATGATATAAGATATATACATTAAACACACAATATATGATATAGGATATATACATTAAACACACATTATATGATATATACATTAGACAGGGCAGATTCTCAGAGATTCGCGCAGTGACTATAGGCTAGATTTTCTCATTTATTACAAGAAAACTTTCAGATTCAGATAAGCTAAAGAGATAAGAGCATAAATGAGCTATCAGTGGTTTAATTACATTGCCATTGGCAACAAGGTGTGAGCGTTGGGAATACGGATTTAGGATATGTTAAATTTCCCCTCCCCCACATCAGCTCCTTCTGTTTAGTAAAAGTATGTTCTTAGACGGACAATATTCCATTAAAATGATTGGGTTTTGTGTCTGCCGTAATGTATCCTTTGTGTGTGCATATTAATATTAAATCAAAGTATAGCAAAGAATTTCATTTTAATTTTTCACAATTGGTTTATTTGAAATAAATAGATAAACCAGTAAGTAAAGTGCAGCATTACATTTGTTTTAACCACAAATTGAAAAACGAATAAATTAACAAAATATATCACATACACATTTTTGTTATTTAAAATTGTACAATTAAAATTATATTTTTTCCACATATTTATAGTTTATTTATTTTGTAGCATTTATTTATCTGGGAGCATTGCAATCTTTCTTACAAGTAAATACGGTAAAGCAGCAAATATCAGCTTTATAACATAATAGGTCTGATAGTACAAATCGAATAAAAAGTGCCTTGATCCAAAAAAACTAATACAGACAGAGATGGACAGACAGAGATGGACAGGCATACAGATGGACAGACAGACAGACAGAGATGGACAGACATACAGATGGACAGACAGACAGATCGATAGATAGACAGACAGACAGATCGATAGACAGATAGACAGATATAGAGAGAGAGAGAGAGAGAGCTAGACAGACAGATAGATAGACAGATATAGAGAGATAGATAGACAGATATATATATAGAGAGAGAGAGATAGCTAGACAGACAGCTAGACAGACAGCTAGATAGACAGACAGACAGATAGATAGTGTAACGAATCGCCTGGCACCCCGACTGGGTACCTCCGTTGAAGGATGCTCCTAGCGCTTCCTGAGGACTCCAAGCACTCTGGCAGACACCACAATCACCGAACCGGAGAAACAAATAAATTCTCCCAAGCATATGAATGCTGTAGACAGTTGAATAGGAAACCATACGAATAGGTTTACTCTCCTAGCAGTCAAACTGGAACAGCATACAATAAATCCTTCCCCCAATAATGAGACGACACTTCACTTTGAGGGTTAAACAGGAACAACACTGCTGGCACACCCAGCCTGGTTTTTATTAGTCTTGCACATACAGGACCGCCCACAGGGAGGTATAAAATAACCAATCAAATAACAGTTACAACCCACAATGCATCATAATCCCTCCTCCCTGGCCTGGAGATAATTGGAGAAGTAATCCAATTATCTCCAAGGACAGAGGCAAACTCCATTACACACATGGCAGACAAAAGACAGTAAAATACAATAAAATACACAAGGTTACATTTATACATAAAATACAGACATTCTACCTATCCCCAGACAGCTTAGATCTGAGCGCACGTTATTACCGGATGGCGCTCAGATCACATACATACAGTTCAATCGCCATGGAGCCAAAGTCTTTCATACAGTCTTTCAGTATACGGCTGGGCTCCATGGCATAGCTATCTGGGGTAGCATGGCTTTAACAGTCCGCAGAAAGGCACAAACCAGGGAAAAAGAACAGGGACCATAGTCTAAAGGTAAGAGGCGGGCAAGCAGCCCCCTCCAAGGACACGTGGCATGGTCGGTTTCGCCACAGATAGATAGATAGATAGATAGATAGATAGATAATTTGCTGGTATGTTGGCAAATGAAGTCTCCACAAACACCAGAAGAATTTAGAAGAAATGTCTGCAGGTGAGATTAACACAACATTATGAAAGGGCTAATTGTGGGATCACCTGATCATGTAGAATGTAAAGAGACTAAGACATGTTAATAAAAGAATATAATTAATTATCACAGATAGATCTAAAACTGTTTCTGAAACTATAATAAAAAAGGGTGACGTTTATTTGTCTCTCTGTCGGTTAGTTAGTGACTAAAAGCATTTTTGGAGTTTGGAAACTTGTCCTCATGCACAGTAAATACAGTTATAATCCGTAAAACCAGGAATCAGCATTTCAAAAGGAAATCAGGATTCTCGTACGAATTGCTTCCAAAACGTGCGCATGCTTGGCAATCAGAAACACTCTCCAAAACACTCAGAAACACTTGGCAATTAGAAACGGTGGTCAGTTTACTATCGCGTGTAACTAATGGCTAATTCGCTCTGATATTTGTACCAATTGCAGACTGCATGTCAATTAGCTAGCATATATAGTAATAGTATCAAATCCGGCTGCTGGAAGCTGCAAAACACGTGATGGGAACGGCTTGTGATCCTCTGCAACTCACCTACAATGGTTTCTGATCAATCCCAGAATGCTTTGCATGCCTGGATATGATTATTAGGTCAATGTGTCAACATCAGACAGTCCATACAGGAGAAATGGGGACCACCGTGGCTACTCCCCTACAATGGCTTCTGATCAATCCCAGAATGCTTTGCATGCCTGGTTCTGATTATTAGATCAATGTGTCAACATCAGACAGTCCATACAGGAGAAATGGGGCCCACCGTGGCTATTCACCTACAATGGTTTCTGATCAATCCCAGAATGCTTTGCATGCCTGGTTCTGATTATTAGATCAATGTGTCAACGACAGACAGTCCATACATTAGAGAAATGGGGCCCACCATGGCTACTCACCTACAATGGTTTCTGATTAATCCCATAATGCTTTGCATGCGTGGATTTGATTGTGAAGGAATAACCCCATCACTTTTGGCTCTTTTCGCAAGCTTGGATTCATGTTTAATTTTATTTTGTTTATGTGGTTCGGTTTTCAAACAAAGGCCACCTCTGAGACCCATTAGAACGCGGAACGTTGAGTATCTTGTATGAAAACCACAACGGAACTAATTAATTAATCGCTCCACTGGGTGGCCGCCATTTCGTACAAGCGAACGCACGTGGTCAGGCCAATGGATGGCGGCCTTTTTGTCTCCCGAACACAGGCAGCGGAATTTGGTAATCGAGTGTCTGGAACTGATTTTGGCCAGCACTCCTGAACACCGGTCATCATGGACCTGCTGCTCATTCCAGCTGTGCTACTCTTACATGAACTGCGTTCAGGAGATATGGACTACCGAATACGGGGAGCATTCTACGCTGATCCGCTTTCATCTAACATGGAGTTTTCGTACAAAACCTCACGAACGGAGAATGGCTCTTGCCACCAAATCCCTGGAACTATTTTGAACTTCAACCTCGTGGCAGACCAGTCAAAACTTCCCTGCGATGGCGATCCAAAACTAATAAACAGATCTGGGTAATTTTTGGATATGTTGTTCGCGCAGATCCCAGCTATCCAGGGATGTGTGGGGTTACCATGTATTTTGGAGGTACTTTTGGGGTGGTTAAAATTTTTTATCATTTTCTGTCCCTGAGAGATAATGTAATTATAAATGTGTTTTCAGATAATTATCTCATAGGCACAGAGGATCCTGGAAGGGATTTCCCTGCATTTCTGTGTGAGAAACATTAGAGAAATGGGGCCCACAATGGCTACTCAACTACAATGGTTTCTGATCAATCCGAGAATGCTTTGCATGCCTGGATCTGATTTTTAGATCAATGTGTCAACATCAAATAGTCCATATATTAGAGAAATAGGGCCCACCATGGCTACTCACCTACAATGGTTTCTGATCAATCCCAGAATTCTTTGCATGTCTGGTTTTGATTATCAGACCAATGTGTCCACGACAGCCACTAAGTGGACATTGGTCGAGGGAGTGGACATAAAGAAAACATACATGATTAAAGCGAATGCGATTGTGTACTCATCTTGTAAAAAAATAGTTGAATTATTTATAGATCAAACATTATGTGAAGAAACCACAGACTTAGTACATTAACTTTGATTTTTCTCGTTCCGTAGATAAAACTACCGAACATCTCCCTGGCTCATTAACTACAAAGAAAAAAACGCAGATTAAGTGCTCTCTCTATGTGGCCACCATTCGTATGGCCGAAAGCTACGTGTTGGAGAAAATGGCCATCTTGTTCACATGAAAAGAGGCAGCGGAACTTGGTTGCCGAGTGTCTGGAACTAAAATCAGACACTCGACTTCCCGAACGCCGGTCAACTTTGCAAACGTCTGCTTCTTTTCACCGACCAGCCAAGAGGGCGCTATTTGGTAGTTTTGTTCCCACGAATTAGGGGAACAAACGCTACCCATGAGCCAAGGGAACAGTTTGAGAATTTGTTCGGTTTTTAGACTTCCCGAAATGGATCGACCACTACCTCTGAAACTGTGAAACTGTTTTGGGCATAGGATCTTGTGTGTGATCGTTCAAATTATAACCTCCATGGAAATCCCGAACCCCTGAACCAATCTGGGTGAATTTTGGATATGATGGTCCCCCAGATCGGGGCTATCAGGGGATATGATGTTTGTGGGGTTTCCATGTGTTTTTTATGTACTTTCTGGGTTTTGTTGAAATGTATGTTTTTTGTGCATGGAGATAATTGAGTTTAGTACAATCTTTGACTCAATTATTTCCCAAGCACAGGGGAAGGATAATACTATCTTATGTGGGAGTGTCCTGGACCTGGCAGCCAATGTAATTGCAGTGTATACTTTTCCATAGTCTCCTCTCAGGTCCAGCAGGGCATGCCCCTGAAATATGTCACTGTAAACCCTGTGCATGGGGACTTGCATTTAAATCAACCAGTTGGTCTGAATAAACTCATTCCTGTTGTACCCTTCATCTAGTCTAGGCTGATATTTGGAAATACGTCTGATTTGCTTGGTGAATTTACTTGGATGCTATACTTCTTCTGGAAAATGTTCGAATCAGCACCCGAACTGTGAGCTATAATCACTCAGCCTCTAGCAGTTCAGGAGCAAACAGGTATCTGAAATACTAGCGTTTGTTACACATTACATTTTGCATTGTCTCTAGCCAATAAAGAAATGGAAAAGTGGCCTTTAAACTAAGTAAACCAACAAATATTTTCCCAGCGTTCTACCAGGTTAGATCCCCATTTAATTAAACTGGCTCATTATGTCCCTATCTGATTAGCGCAGGAGAATCAATTATTCGATGCACAAACATGACTGTGAGAGTTAGCGGTGTACAGAGCTGTTCATTTAATTCCAAGGACACTAATTAGGTACAAAGCAAGCAATAACTCTAACAATTGAAGGCAAAGACATACACGCTGTACAGGACAAGGGGAAAACAGGCCTTCATTTTCTTAATAAGCTGGATTCCCTATCCTTAACAGGGTCAAGAAAAAAAACAAAATGAGAAAGCAAGAAATGGAGATGAAGAGCACAGAGCTTCCTGGAGATAACCCTGGGGATTTGCATATGTAATGGTTTTCTGCTACTTTTGTAGTTTATAATCAAACACTAGGCAATTATCCAAATTATTGACAGCAGCTTTCTCATTTCAACTGCAAATTAAGGCCATTAATAAAGCTTTCTAATGCAAAAGTGACTAATTAACTAACGAAATGAAACTCTGAAGCTGTGATATCAAAACCAGTCCACCACATATTGTGGAAACACAAGGGAACTAATTAGTTTAATTATCAAAACAGCTAATTAAAATTACACAGTTGCCCAATTAGTTCTTTGCACTTTTTCTCCACTTTAATTGACAAGATGGAGTTAAATCGGTTCTGGTCTTTAAGAAGTGCTCGAAGAGGGAGCAGCAGTTGGAAGGATACTTTGAAATGATTTTATCTCACTTTATGACAGAACTGCATCAGGAAAACAAATTACTATCAGAGTTTTAATAATACCCCAACCCTCAAACAGAAGAATGGGAGTTTACGGACCCTATATGTACATATCTGGATGTTAAAATGATCATAGCGCTGAGGGTTGCTACTGCTGCCTTATAGTGTGCTAGTTTTTAAATGATGTTTAGTTTTGTTTTTTGTTTCAGAAATTTGATGGGGTAACACTTCTGTTTGTCATTAATTTAAAGGGGGTAAACGATCCTTTCTACTACTGACTGCGTTAATTGTATGTAATGGTGGACACCGTACCCAAGCAGCCCCATCCAATGGGCAGTGGGATCACAGTGAAACGAAGAGTGAAATGTTGATGAGTCCTACCCGGCACCCATGATTGTGCAGGTGATGGCTAATTATTATCAATCAATTCTAAGAGTAAAATAAATTGTCATTGAACATTGTCGCTCTATTTATTAAACATATGTAAGGCGTCCTAACATTGCATGCAAGTGGTTTAAAATATCCGATTTTAGTAAAAGATTTGAAGATAAAATCTATAATTAAAAAAAGTATTACATTTTTTTTTAATTTGTATAATAGCTCTGTTCTATACTAAAAATTGCTCAAACCAACCCTAAACAGACCTATTGAGTAAGTACTTCACTGTACGGCTCTCAAGTAGATGATAATCTCTGGTGTATGTGGTGCAGGACCTAGCCCATTGGCTGAGAACGGTCAGCTGACCGCACTGCAGCACTAACGGGAGCAGTGCTCGGCGTAAGAAATCATTCTGGAGCGGTTTAACTACTTACAATGGTGGGGGCCACAAGGCACTGCAGTGGTTATGGTGCTTGACTTTTTCTTTTATCTAGAATAGAGATTTTGCCTTTTAACAGAAAGCAGCAAGGTGAATTGTTTGTGCAGGTGAGCTTGGGTGATAAACCTGTTATTTAAATGTACACGGGGATTTGGGATAGTGTGCAGAGAATTTGGTTTGTTCCATGTATTTGAGTTTAGTGGATTTAGTTCTATGTACTTGTTTATTTGTATATGCGCATGATAACTGCTGTTTGTACATCTAGCCAATAACTAAACATGTTTTTCTTATAACCTGTTTCTATGTTTACATTCCTTGAAATAAAAAAAGAATCATTCTTGGAGGACATTTTAAAACAGGACTGGTGGCCATGGCTGTTCCATTCACCTGGTTAAAGGTTCCTATGAAAGCAGCAGAGAGGATGACTTACACAAACTGCAAAATTTGATCTCTGAATACCACACAGGTTTTAATTGTTTTAAAACAATGAGTCGCCAATGTTTCCCCCCTGTCCTGGATCTTTCTCAAATCTTAATAGCTCTCATAGATTAACGCAATACATGGTAGTGGTGGAGCCTCCAAATTCACAATGACAACTGGTGCAGGACTACTAAACACATAATACTGTAAAAGAGCTAATCACCCCCTGTTCCCCTCCTCTAGCCCATTTCACGCTAATCGCTACCTCTCCTGGCCACTAAACGATTCCAGAAGCCCAGCACAGCTACAATACCTCCAGCGGGAACAGGTCGACCCGATTCACTGCCGGTGACTGGTGAAACTAACGGCCATTCATACTCCCTCAAACTAACATGTAGAAGAATGCTTTTTGGAGAGGAGGTAGAGGAAGGTCCAGCCAACAATCGCTACGAAAGAGACAGGGAAAGCCTCCCTTTTCCAGGAAGAAAACAGACTATATAGGTGACCAGCACTTAGCTGCAAACAGCCAGAACTTCAATTTCTCGGGTTAGGCACATCCGATCGGACGCTTTTTAAACATTATGCTGGGGGAAGTGAGCTCTGCGCAGGGATGCATAAATTGTCTTCTGGCACTGTCCCTCCATTCAGTGTTAAATCATCCCATCTCATTGAAGTGGCTATAGTGTCTGGACTCCCCTGGTGTTGTCCTTCCATTCAGTGTTAAATCATTCCATCTGATTGAAGTGGTTATAGTGTCTGGAGTCCCCTGGTGCCGTCCTTCCATTCAGTGTTAAATAATTTTTAATGGTTTTAATGCTAAACAAGAGCACAAACTACACAAACAATCTCTACCTATGAGCCAAGGGAACTGTAACGGATCGCCTGGCACCCCGACTGGGTACCTCCGTTGAAGGATGCTCCTAGCGCTTCCTGAGGACTCCAAGCACTATGGCAGACAACACAATCACCGAACCGGAGGAACAAATAAATTCTCCCAAGCATATGAATGCTGTAGACATTTGAATAGGAAACCATACGAATAGGTTTACCCTCCTAGCAGTCAAACTGGAACAGCATACAATAAATCCTTCCCCCAATAATGAGACGACACTTCACTTTGAGGGTTAAAACAGGAACTCCCTGTACTGTCACATACAGTCTCTTTTATTCCCAATCCACAAACATGGTACAGCCCACAGGGCGTTACAAAACAACCAATCAATCCGTACAATACACCCAGACACTCCCACACAAAATCCTCCCCTCTGCCTGTGATATGATTACTGAACACAATGGGTAATCTCATTATCACCGGCAGAGGAATACAGTTTTTACACAATTTTTTTTTTTTTTTAATTCTTTATTTTTTATTGTGCAGGTGGGTACATGTCAGTTTCCAACGCCACAACAGCGTATTTACAGATGGCTATACATGCTTAACAGTTGCAAGAGTGCATGCACATTTTTTAAAATATATTAGCAATAACAATATAACAGGCTGAACCGTAGTGGAATGCTGATTGCAGTGTAGATTCTGGTGTGTGTGAGATAAGTTACATTGCGATATACTATTGCAATATTGGGAGTGCTGGGACAAGCTAGTCTGCTTGAGAGTCTAGACAGGTGCTTAAAACATGAGTGCCCGCTGATCTAGGGGGATGTAGTGGAGTATGTTGGGTAGGCTGCTCTGGTTGGTTAATTCAGTTAGCCCTTTTGTTCATAACTATGTTGGACATATCGGCACAGGACTCCTAGTTTCAGCATCCTTAGAGTCATTGTAGAAGTCAAAGGGGAAGGGCTAGGAAATAATTACATCGCAAGAGGAATCACTGGGCTCTCTGAGAGCTCTGTCTATACGTGTGTGGGTGTCAGGGCAGTGGCGACCTGATCATTGACCGGTTTAATATCAGTCACTACGTGACCTGTCTGTGTGGTATTAAGTCGTCTAACTGTGAGTGGGTGTTGCGTGCAGAGTGGCCAGGCTAGGTATCGTGCGCTGCCTCTCTATACATGCGACATGCAAAGAATATTTCTGAACAAACCAACCAGAACTAAAAATTAAACACGTTTGTAACATGGGCCACAGGGTATCTGGAATTGTAGTTATAGATACGTCCATACATGTTAGTCTAGTGACACACTGTGGTATGTAAATCTACATTTATCATGGCAACAGACGCGACATACATGACAGAGTGATATTGGTAAGTGATCGCTATCTAGTCCAGACTGGCAAAGAAAAACAAGTGCTCTGCTGCGTTATCGTGGGAGCTCCAAAAAGGCCAAAAATAAAAATAGAAATAAATAAAAGGAAAAGGCAAAAAAGTCTCTGTTAACAGAAGTCTGTGGACTTCGGCTAGTCCCCCCTTCCCCTCCTTGCGGTCATCCGACCTTTCTCTCGGCTGGGCTATAGGCCTGCATGTGCAGATATTTCGTGCCGTGCTGCCAGAGTTCTGTCGGGTGTCAGGTGCAACGTAACCCGGTACAGTCCCAAAGTTTGCCAGGGATGGCCAACGAACTAAGCCGTGAGAGCAAGGTTGCCCACGTGTGTTGGATTTGGCCGGTCAATGGCATCGTCCGTCCGAAGACCTCTGGCTAGTCCGCCAGTGTGTGTCTGCGGGTGTCAGTCACGTTGGTGAGAGTAGGTGTTATCCAGACTGGCTGTGGTGATGAGCGTGAGTCGCTGCAATCCGGGGCTGCGAATAACTTGTGGTATAGGTGTCTCAGGAGTGTCTGTTGTGGTGACTTACATTCAGCGTTCAAAGATTGTATATTCCCAGGGATGTCGTGTTTAGGTAGTGACCGCGGCGTAGGAGTCAGGGGTCGAACCTCTTTGGATAAACAAGTTGATTTTTGCCGGGTCCCAGGTCTGCGCTGGGGAGGTCGGGTGAAGGAGCCTTTCCTGATTGAGCGAGGTCTGTGGAATGCCCAGAGTCCGCAGGAGGTCAGGGGCTTCCTCAATGTCGTGTACCAGATGAGAGGCCGTTCCTTGCTGTACACTGAGAGATCTGGAGTTCCGCCAGCGGTAGTTGATCCCGTGCCGTTGGAGCAGAGAGGTAAGTGGTTGGAGCGATCTGCGCCAGGCCAGGGTGCTACCGGACAGGTCAGCAAAAAAGGTCAGTCCCTTGTTTTCAAACTGCATAGGGGTTTTACCTCGGAGGGCCGAGAGAATCATCGCTTTTTCCTTCCCATTTCGGAAAGTAATTATAGTGTCTCTTGTCGCAGAGGGTGGTGCTCTGGGGGGTTTAGGGATTCGAAATTGGCCCACAGGGGTGATGGCTGTGGCCTGTCCGCTTGGCAAAATGGCTGCTATCATACGCTGTACAACTTGTGGCAGGTCGGTCTCAGGAATCTCATCAGGGAGCCCTCTGACCTTTAGATTTTGTCTTCTTCTGTCATCTTCTTGAGCTGCGTAGCGGCGTTCTTGTAACTGGTTCTGTTTTTGCAGGTCCAGTACAGCCTGTTGCAGGGACGATAGGTCCTGCTGGTGTCCTTGAGACGTTATCTCTAGCGTGCTGATGCGGCCTGTCAGGCCCTGCAGTTCGCCCCTGAGGGCAGTTACATCCGCTAGTATATTCTTTTGGAGATCCGCCAGTAGTGCTTTCATAACCCCTGTGGTTACCAACTCCCCGTCGGTACCCGTTGGCTTGGACTGCCGCGTTATGGCCGGGGCTGTCATGTAGTCGTCCTCAGCATCTCCTGAGAGATCGTCCGAGAAATCGGAACAGCCGCCATGAAGGGCCGCCATGTTAGGCTCCATCGTGCCTCGTGCTTGCCTCCACATTTCTCCGATCGTCCGTTCAGAGGTATGTCTGTCTGGTCCCGGTTTTTTATTTTTCTTCCCCATTGTGCTTTGCTTTGGGGGGGTCTCCGCTGACTTTTTGGGGTCTGTGGGTAGTATTTGGTTCGATTTTCGACGTTTGGTGCGCGGAGCTCCAAATTCCTGCGACTGCTGTCCTTCCTAGCCACCGGAAGTCCCCCGTTTTTACACAATATTTATAACTTCTAAAATATACATGTCACAAACATAAAACATACATTTTCATAATCAATCCATTCAGGGGAACAACATATTAAAAAATGGCACGAATCAGACCAGGGATTCAAAAGTTAAGGGAAAGTCCTTTGTGACTAAATGAAGCATGGCTTTCCGGCCCAAACCAGTTTCAGAGTCTTCTATCCTGGGGATAAGTAATTCAATTATCTCCCAGGACAGACACAAGACTCCATTAAGCACATGGTTGCAAAAAGACACAAAACACTTTAAAATACATAAAGTCACCTTTTATACATAAAACACAGACATGTCACATATCCCCAGATAGCTGGAATCTGAGCGCACAAAACTACCAAATAGCGCTCAGATCCTATTCACACAGTTCAATTGCCATGGAGCCGAAGTCTTTAACTACACGAATGGGCTCCATGGCATAGCTATCTGGGTTAACACATTCACATAAAGTCTGGTCCATAGTCCAAAGGCAAGAGGCGGGCAAGCAGCCCACTCCAAGGACACGTGGCGAGGCCGGTTTCGCCACAGGAACCGTTCAACTTTTTGTTCGTTTTGGAACTCCTGAAAGTGACCGACCGCTACCCCTGATTCTCTGGAACTAATCTGGGCAGATGCCACATGTGGATATGGATGTTCTTAGTCGGAGTATGGGGGATCCGTTACATAACCAATAGTATAATGAAATCAACAATACCGCTGTGGCGGCCACACCGATGGGAATAGGGGTTTTTGCCACTGTAGCGGAGCGGCAATATTAAATCCCATGATCTCCGCTGGTAAAAAAGGTTGTAACGGCATCCTGGGCATAAAAGGGTTAAACCGCCGTTTAGTATATCTTCCCCTTCCAGAGACACAGGCACAGCTACTGCAGAACCCCAAACTCCCGAACAGGATACCAAGTAGCACTCCAAACTCCCGAACTGGAACCTCACGAATAGCTGCTAGCAGCTGAACAGGAAAAGCACCCAAGCGGCTTACACTCCTGGCAATCAGTCTCTAACAGCATACAATAAATCCCCCCAAGAACGAGACAAAGCTCCGTGTTGAGGGTCAAGCAGGAACAGACAGAGCTGTGGGTTTATTGTTCTTATATACACGTTAGTACCACCCACAGGGTTTTGGAAAACAACCAATAAACACGTACAATACACTCAGACACTCCCACACAAAATCCTCCCCTCTGCCTGTGATACAATTACCTTACACAATGGGTAATGTAATTATCACAAGCAGAGAAATAAAAATTTTCCACATTATTCATAACTTGAAAAGTATGCATCACATTCACATAAAACTTAAATTTTCAGAATCAGCATACTCCAAATGTCAAAATCATCCAAATTGGTCCAGTGGTTCAAAAGATAGATCGTAGTCCTTTGTGACCAAAGGAAGCATGGCTTTTCTGCCCAAAACCAGTTCCACAGATTCTTCTATCCTGGAGATAATTAGAAAGTAATCCAATTATCTCCAAGGACAGAGGCAAAACTCCATTGAACACATGGCAGCAAAAGACAATAAAACACATAAAAACATATAACTGTGCAGCCATTGCACAAAACAGGTACATTCAACATATCCCCAGATAGCTCAGATCTGAGCGCACATTATTACTGAATGGCACTCAGAGCACACACATACAGTTCAATTGCCATGGAGCCAAAGTCTTTCCCATAGTCTTTCATTATACGAATGGGCTCCATGGCATAGCTATCTGGGGTATCACCGCTCAAACAGGGCCAGCACCGAATGACCCAGCTTTTGTGTCTACGCAGGGGAAAATCAAGCGTTTCAACATGGGGCCATAGTCTAAAGGCAGCAGGCTGGCAACCAGGCTCCTCCAATGCACAATGGCGAGATTGGTCTCGTCACAAAGTTAATCCACAGTCAGCGCTGAAAAGTAAGGCAATATCCCAAATCCCCCAGTAACCGGACGAGACACAGTTCTGGGAGTCAACTGAGGTTTGTATTCACAGCATCCAGTATTTATGCAAGTCCCCATGCAATGGGTTCCCTTACTGACATGGCAGGGGTTGTACAGTAGGGGACTACATGGGGGACTTAACATTCAGACCTTTTCTCCCATCAGGCACTGCTGCACGAGAGGGACACTCCCACTGGAATACACCGTTAAGTGGATTATCCCTCCGTGTAGCAGAACCGGCATTTCACATTAAAATGTATAACTTTCATAATACTTGAGTGATTTAAACGAATGGACATTCGGTAGATAGCTGGGGTCTGAGCGCACCTTTCGTGAGAATACCGCTCAGATCCCAGCTAAAACAACCGAACGCCGCACGAAATACACTTTGCCCATAAGTTCGTCTGAAAGTACCCAACACCGATGGGGAACTGTAATAGGGGAATACCAGAGCTCCCGAACGGCCTGGAAGTCCAGCGGGGTTCGCGCCATCGAGTAGCTGTTTTCAGTTCCACGCGCTCAACGACCAAACCCCGCTGGTGAGACAAAGGATCCAAGATGGCCGACCGCCGCGTGGTCGGTAGCCGAACGACGGCCACCTAGGAAAGCCTCTAATTACAACACTGTTGCAATCGGTTAATGAGCGCCACACGTCCCTCTGTGTGTGGGCTATTAGGGGGTAGCTCATTCGGTTCACGAACAGCCTGTAAGGTTGCTGTTCGTGAAACGAAACACATGAATGCTAGCGGCTTTCGGCTGCTAGCATACGAATCCAATGCAAACATACAGTAACACACAATGTAAATCCAGGCCCTGGGGAGATAGCGCAGCTAAGCGGACAAGGGCACATGTAGGAGTGTGGGGATAGATGCATGGGATTGGTTGGGAAAGAGTGTGTGGGTGGGATTATGTTCTGTGTAAATTAGTGTGGGGGAGGTCTTACCTCAGTGCCACTTGGGATTCGGGCCAGCAAACAGCTTCCTGTCCTCCTGCTCCTGTTTGCCTGGGCCTGCAGATTGACACAGCTTGATGGTTGAGGCTTTCTGGCTTCCCTCAGGGCTGCTGCAGCGTGGATGGTGGCCGGCTCCTGTGGGAACAATTGGCAAGCATTAATGAGGTATGGCTACCGGTGTGGGCCCCCCCGCGGCCTACCTCCTCCTGGAGCACCCCCTGCGGTCTCCCCTGCTGCCTCCCATGCGGTCCCTGCCCCTGGGGGCCGCACCCGCCTGCCAGGCTCTCCCCTGATCCCACTCCTCGGGCCCGGTTGATGAGGCGGAGCCCGGGCCCGAGGCATCAGCCAGGCCTACCAACTGGGGCCTGGATTTGCGGCTTTTCTGCGGCCGCGCGCGTGGCACGGCCTTCTGCCACGAGGCCTGCCACTGCCGCGCGGCCAGCCGCCTACATTGCCGCCCGGCCTGGTACTCCCAGGCCGGGGATGCGGCCTCCTACCACCGCGCGGCCTGCGGTGTCTATGGCCGCACGGTCCCTGACTGCAAGGCCGGGGATGCGGCCTGCTAATGCAGCGCGGCCACCTGGGGCGTCTGCCCCCCTACCACACCATCCGCCCCGGCCGCCAGCGCTGGATTGCGGGCCGGGGGCGGTGGGCGGCGGATTCAGCACTCCGGGCGGCCGGCGGGGGGTTGGGGCAGTGAGTAGGCCCCCGCGGGCCGCACGGGGTACCTTAGTACCGCCGTTTGGGATTTGGAGGGTCTCTTTGCCCATCGGGAGCCTCCTCTGCCAGTGAGGAAGGCTCCCAGGGTGCTGTCTCCCCTTCTTCTCCCAGGGGACCCAGCTCTCCCTTTCTTGGGCCCCCTGGTCCCCCCTCCTCTTCCCCATTTTCTGCTTCCTTCTCCCCCCCTCTCTCTCCTCTAGTGGGCCTGCCCTCTCCCCTCCTTTTTCCCCCTCCTATTCTTTCCCCCTCCCCTGGGTCTCCATTCCCTCTCTGTCTACCTCTCTGTTATCCCCCCCCCTCCTCTTTCTAGCCTGCACCTCCCCCCCCCTTATCCAGCCTTGTTCTCTTTCTGTCCACCCCTCTATGTTCTCCCCCCCCTCCTCTATCTAGCTGCTCCCCCCCCCTGCTGGTCACTTACCTCGGCCGTCTCCTCTGGGGCGTGGGCTCTCCTCTTCTCCACTGCTCTCTTCTCTGGAATCTGCTGCAGTTCGTGGACCCGTCCAGCAGGTGGCGCCTGGATCACAGCTGTTGTCGTTTATGGATGCTGGTACTGTTGTTTCTTTGCCTCGTCCTTCTGCGTCTGGTGAGTACTTTCCCCCCCTCTTTAGCGCTTCGCGTGCATACGTTGTTCCTTCGTTGTTCAGTCTGGTCCTCCTAGCACGGTAAAAATAATAAAAAATACAACAATGGTATATAAAAAAAAAAAAAAAAAAAGTAATTTGCAGTACAGAAAATAAATTTGTGTCAATTACCGCATGGAATGAATTAAACGACAGCCAGATAACAGAACATACAACCGTGATTTAACTGTCAAGTACACGGTGATGGATGATCAAACCCCAAAAAAAAAAAAAAGTGTGTATATATATATATATGAACGAGGAAAGTCTGGGTACAAGGACAGCGCTTTCCCCCCTTTCGTTTTCAGTATGTCTCATTTGTTAGGTACCAGTGTCTGGCGCAGCGGATAGCGCCGGCGGTGCCTCCCAGGTTCGCATGACTCTGGGTGTTGCTGAGCTAATATGGCCCGCTTGGCTTGCGCGCACTACTAGGGAGCATATGGGGGAAGGGGCTTTATTACAGGTGTGTTCCCTCCTGCCACGGGGGTCCCTTGGCTAAGAGGGACATTAGGGGCTCCAGGAGGGTCATGGGGAGCATGCTGTGGTCGGTTGCGCCCCAGGGTGCATATTCGAATGCACCCTGTGTTCTGGATAGCATGGTCGGGGAGAGGGCTCCCCGAGAATGCGCTGCGTGGTTCTGCGGTCAGGACACTTCCGGGACGCATATCGTCCCTGGGAGGAGCTGGGTTGGTGGAGGTACGTTTTGCGCTTTCGTGGCGGTGCAACCCTTCTTGGCCCGGGGCCGGATGGGCTTCAGCCTCTGGTTTTGCTTAGGACTCGCCTGGTGCCTCTCTGCAATCTGTTGGGATGGGGACTTGGTTGCTCTCGGTGCGGGACCCTCAGTCCATGTGAGAGCTCCTTCGGGTGGTGCGGGTCCAGTTTACCACGCACGCTCGCCTAGCTTACTTCCCGCTCGTTTACGGTGCCCCTGGAGTCCGCTCTGCGGGTCCCCCCGTTGGGATGTGGTGCCCATGGAGGAGCGGGGTTGATATCCCCCGATTCCTTATTTACTCGGTTGTCGTTTCCTTCCGAGGGCTGGGTTTGAGTTGGTGGCTCGGCGCAGTGGTCTGCGTGGGTGGGGCTGCGGGGCCTTGCTGACGAGGCTGCCGGTACGCCCGTCGCGGTGTGGTTTCCGGGCTGTGTTTCTGACGGTCAGGATTAGGTGGCTAAAGTGCCTCCATGTAAGTTGCTCCCGATGTCGCTTATGTGTGGGGCCGTCAGTGTCGCATGTGCGCACTCTGCTGCTGCAGTGTTTTTCTTGGGGTAGTGTTTTGTTTGGAGTTTCGGAGTTCCGGGGCCCAGGCCTTCTCCGTGGGTCGGGATGTGTGCTCCTGTCTCTTGGATAGTGGGATCAATTCCTGTAAGGGGAACGTCGGTGCCCCTGGCTGCGGTTTTGGGGCGTCAGGCAGGAGGCGTCGGTGGTTTGGAGGGGCGTTGTGGGTTTCGGCTGCGCTACCCGTGGTCTCTCTTGGGTACGCTGGGCTTTGCCTATTGGGGTTGCCCTTGGGACTGTATGGGGGTTCCTGCTGGGCCTCCTTTACCACTGGCTTGTGCAATCTGGCCCCCTGTGTCCTTTCCGCTGGCTTCCAACGGTTTTGCCTGCCGCAGCAGGTTTTGGGTTTTGGGCCATTTGGGCTCTCGGTGGTGCTGTCTCTTGCCCAATACGCTGGCTCTGGCGGACTCTGGTGTTCTTGGAGGTCCCCCCTTTCTGGTGGCATGGTAGGCATGGGTTACCCGGCTCACGAACGGGTGGGGGGTTTTCCTTGGGGACCATCGTGGGGTGCTGCTGGCTGTTTTTCACATGTGACAGTACCCTATACCCCGGTGGTACTTTGGTACTCTGGCTCGGTGCTATTTGAGTCTAGAGGCGGCTGGTCAAGGTTTTTGTCCGGTTGTTGCCGATTTGGTGGCCGATGCTCTGTCTTGTTCATTATCGAGCCTACTTCAGGTGGTGGTGTCACGGGGTCCATTTGTAAGGCAGTAGAGGTGTGGTCCCTTGGTCCGACGGTCTGCTGCAGCTGGTCTGTGGGCGATCTCTAGGGCGGCGTGGGGCCCGCTCCAGTAAGGTTGGAGTGTTCGGGACGGTTGGGTACGTTTTTCCTTTTGGGTCCCGGGATTGGTCTGCTCATCTACATGTTTGGTTCCGTCTATTGCGGGCGTTGGGGGCGATTTCTGCGAGTAGCGGGGCTCGGCTTCCCGTTCATGTTACGGTAGTCGGCAAGTGGGAGGGTGTTTTGGTGGAGTTGAGGGAGCGTTGGAACGGACTTCCTTCAGGTTTCGCAGCTCGATGGCTGTTGTCGTTGGGAAGGGTAGGTTGGTTTGAGTTTGGTTGTTTCATCGATAGAATCTGTTCAATTCTTGGATGTCGCGGGTTTGACTTTCTGCATTCTCCTGGGGTTGGTGGGATGCACGGGGTGATGGTTGGGGCTCCTGCCATGCTGTAATGGGTTTCCAGGATGGTCTGTAATATACCGTTCCGATCGGGGGCGGTGCAGGGTTCCGTCATTGGCCTGTTTTTCATTGGGAGTACTGTTCCGTCCCTTGGATTGTTCGGCCTCCTCCCCTGTTTGGTTCTCGGAGATGGGTTTTCCACCCCCGCGTCCATTTAGTTGGGGTGTTCCTCTTGGCGGCTCGGACTCCTGGATAAGGATGGTGAGGTTTTCAAGGGGCATTTAATTTGGTTGGGGCGGCTACGGACACCGCCAGGCTGGGCGTTCCTGCGCCGATGGCTCAGAGGGCTCGAATGGTGGGAGTCAGGGTGGTGGGTTCCTTGGGTTAGCCTTGCTGGTCTCTGCTTGGATTTATCTCCGCGTTTACGGTTCTCCCCCTCCCCCCCCCCGGACTGGGGAGGGCGGGGTTTTTCGTGGGTAATTTGGAAAGGGAGGCAGGGGCGAGTGGTTGGATCTTCCTCCTTCTGGGGCGGAGGTTCGGTGGTCTGGCTCCGGCTACGTGAAAGGGGTGTGGCTCCTCCTCATACAGGGTCAGCTGCCCCGCCTCATGTGGTACCAAGGGTTTTGTCATCCCTGGGTGGAATGACATGGGCCGGTGGTGGTTTAGGACTTGGGTTCTCTTCGATCTGGACATGTTACGCATTACGTTTCTTCCCCGAGGTTCTCAGGGGCTAGGCTGTGCCTATCGCCCCTTTTCTGTTGGCAGTGCACTCCGCAATGTGAGTGCCCTGGTGCGCTGCCGTCGGTCATCAGACTAGATGGGTTTCTAGGTTTGTAGTGGCCATAACTAAATGACTAAATACATAACTGGCAAAATGAATATATAAAACATAAACACTTCCAGTTCGCCTTTTGGGTTTGGCCAAATGTGGCCTGGTTTTCTCGTAGAGTGGGGTGCGCTTGCTGGAGGTCGGACTTGGCCTCTGCTGATCTAGCGCTGCAAGAAGTGGTGGAACAGGCCATGGCTGGTTGTGGTGGGGTCCCCCGCTGATTTTAGGTGTAAAACAGCGGGGTTGTGGCGGGGGTATGTCCTTGCCAATTGAGTTTGAGGTTACGTTTAAGTATATGGAATGAGATGAACAAGTTTTTTAAGGTCTCAAACCTCCCCTGCTTCAAAGGTTAAACTTTAGGTTGCCTGAGGTCTCGTGCCCATCGAGCGTGGGTAAAGTCGGCTGATGGCAGGCATTGGAAATATATGATTTTTATGACGAGGGGGGAGGTGAGAGAGAGTGGTGATTAGGAACCACTCTATGTTTATTGGCAAGGACGGTTGGGTCACTGTATAACACTATGGGTGGAGTTATATATGTATATATGTTAATTTATGCTTATTTATGTCTAACGTTTTGGTTACAGAAAAGAAGAGATTTAATAAATAAAATTATGGATG